GTGTGCTGAATTCCAGAAACTTTGTAAGACTATTTAAATTGGTGGCATTTGGCATGTCTTGAGCACATAAATTCTGGAAATGGAGGGTGGTGTTCAATTCGCTGGTGGCACTGTGGTCTAAACCACAGAGCCTAGGACTTGCTGATCAGAAGGTCAGCGGTTCGAATCCCCGCAAGAGGGTGAGCTCCCGTTGTTCAGTCCCTGCTCCTGCCAACCTAGCAGTTCGAAAGCATGTCAAAGTGCAAGTAGATAAATAGGTACCGCTCTGGCAAGAAGGTAAATGGCGTTTCTGTACACTGCTCTGGTTTGCCAGAAGTGGCTTAGTCATGCTGGCCACATGACCCGGAAGCTGTATGCCGGCTCCCTCGGCCAATAAAGCGAGATGGGCGCCGCAACCCCAGAGTCAGCCACGACTGGACCTAACGGTCAGGGGTCCCTTTACCTTTACCTCAATGCTACTGTTACTGAGAATGGACCTATTGAAGGCTGTAGACATGACTAACTTAGGTGCATTAATTTCAGTGAGTCTGCTCTGGGTAGGACTTGGTAAAATAAAACCCTTAATCATGCTTTGTGTGAACAAGTGGTGTTTTTATCTGTCCTAAACCTACTGCCTATTTTATTCTTATATTACGAACAGAGACAGTTTTCCAATATCTGTACACTGTTCAAAATATTGAAGCCTCTTTCTATTTAGTTGATTGGGTACAGTTATACCCTGCATCTTGAATCACAACAGTCCCCTGAACAGATTACAATGAAATTCTTTTTTATTATTAATTTTTAAAAAAAATGTTAGAACTACAATCAAACAACCTGAATAGAAACAGCAGGCTGTTCCAATGCTACAAAATAGAAACTGGGGTAGAGGGGCAGCCAGGGGACAAGATCATTTCCCCCCATGGGACAAACGTAGGCATGATGCAGGAAATATGTGGATAAGATCTCCTGGCTTTCTTAAAAGTTCTTAGCAGATGATCCAGATCATAGCAGTGACACTAACCCATGGGGGAAAGAAATAGGTCCCCACATAATAATTGCATGGGTAAATAACAGCTTCATGAGGATTGTTTATACCTGGAAAAGCAGCACTCGTCGGAGTGCTACACAAACAGCCACCCACCCACCCACCACCACACTGTTTCATTCCTGATCTGAATTCCTACCCAGCCACCCCACCTCATGGGAAATGCTACTCATCTCCACTTTGACCCTCAGCCCTCTAAAAAATCTCCAAGGTCCTTAGCCTTCTCAAAGGCATGATGCCCTAAGTATTTCCTCATTTTATGTTGCAGTTCTATACATACTTTCCTGGGAGCAATTTCAATTGAACTCAGTGGGGCTTGCTTCTGAGTAGACCTGCATAAGATTGCACTGTTAGTTGCCTTTTTCTGCTCCTCTTCCAGCTCTGTGATATCCCTTAGGTGCGGATATGACCAGATATATGTATGGTTTGCATTGTATTCTAAAATCAGCTTCAGCATGGGTTTACATAATGCCACTGGAATACTTCCGGTTAATACAGTTGATTATACTAGCCAGAAAATTACAGTGGGGAAGTGTATAACCATACATGTATTGTGTATAAATTCCACATACTCCATCATCTGGCATGCATTATTATTTTTATTATTATTTATTGAATTTATATCAACACGATATTTAACTAAGGGAAATAGATCAACTAGGTGCAATAGTAAGTACTATTGCCTACAGAATAAGAACATTTGGAATGGATTAATATCAAAATTAATAATTTGGGATTAATTATCGGGAGGGGAGAGAAGGGGTTGAGAATATGACTGCATCCCAGAATTTGGGCAGCTTGGTGTCACGAAATGCATACAAACCAATACAAATGTGCTGTCACCTTGAACCACCTTTGGACAGACTATCAACAATTATTTGCTTTTTTAAAAGACAAGGATGTGCTTCTGAGTCGCAGTTCCTGCCTATGTCCCAGATAATGTTGCCCTTTAAACAGAATAAAGAGCAAAATTTTTGATATATTTCTCCCAAAAAGTAATAATCTACAGCGCAAATGATCACAGAAAAACAACGGGGACACAATGAGATGGGTTTTCTGCTGTCACTTTCACCCTCCAAACTGCTCCTTCACAACAAGCAAACAAACCCACAAGATAAGTCAAAGTACCATCTCTATGTATGTGGTAGATTTAATTTGTTTGATGTTCAAGCCATCCCCTTGGATGTTTTAATTAGCAGTTGACTTTCTTCCAATGTAAACAGCCAAGGCTACTTGTATTGCAATTGAGGAAAGGAAATGTAAAAGTACATCTTGAAAATATCCTTGATAGCTATATCCCTCTTGACTGGTGCCAAATTTTCTTTCAGGCTCAAAGTGCTTAACAGACATTGCCCACGACAATTATCTGAAAATATAAAAATAACATTGAAATCAGATACTGAGGGCACATTTGTCCTTTGCATTGCAATACTGTGAAGTCAATAGCATTTATGTCTTGTGATTCCACTCAACCTCAGTTTATATTTGGCATATGAGGAGGACAAATAATTCCCAAGATTACCATTTTCTTGTAAAAAAAATCCTATTAACTATTCATGGAATAAAAAAATAGGGATACCTGGGAAATATATGTAAAGCAAAAAATGTCAGATTTCATTTATAATTAATAATGTGGTTTTGGATCAGAAATTATTCAAGGGATTATAGGTTTCCTTAAGGCACCACTGTGCAATAAAATCTTTATACATAAAACTGAAAGCAATTGATACTTGAGATTGGCAATAATTTAGATACAGTAGAATGGAGCATCTTGTGCAGCATTGTGGAAATATGGTGCAAGATAGAGGATTGTGGTTAATTTGCATGAGGTGCATATCAGAGTACGGTAATTGGCACAAAACGCACACGGATCCAAGATTCATAATCTGTCTTCAGCAAGTATGTTACATTTGTGCAAGCATGAGACTGAGTGCCACATTAACATAAACATGGTGCCATGGCTGGGCGATTTCCTACATCCAACCCATCAGCAGACTCCACACATAATGCTGCACTTTTATAGAGTTGTAGAATTGGGGGCTTCCGGTCCCACCTGCCTTAATGGAAGCAGCCGCCATGACAGCGGGGGATCATCAGCAAACGAAAAACAAGAATGAGAGAGGGTAAATCATCCTTGCAAATTCCCCCCAAGGACAGGGGGGTGGGAATGGGCTTCACTCGCAGTTCGTCTCAGTACCTGGCTCTCGCTCCTGCATGGAATGTGGGAAGCAGGGAGGCAAAAGCACTTTGCCTGGCGAAAACCCTCCTACGCCGCCTTTAAGAATCAGAGTTTTTCTATTTAATGGGATCTTTAATTTGGCTGTTATTGGGGATATATTGTAAAACACACACACACGAATTGTAGAATTGTAAGAGAACCGCCAGAGCAGCTTCGTCACGCTGGCCACGTGACCCGCAAGTGTCTGCGGACAGCGCTGGCCCCCGGCCTCTTAAGTGAGATGGGCGCACAACCCTAGAGTCAGACACGACTGGCCCGAAAATACGGGCAGGGGTACCTTTACCTTTAAGAGAACCCAACGGTCATCTAGTCCAACTCCCTTTTGCCACCTGAAAAGGCTCCCACCTATGAAGATTCCCACCTCCAACCCTGAGTCCAGGGATCCCCTTCTTCCAATGTGCAGCTAGTAGTCCTGTTTCTGTAATCTGAGGACCTCAGGGAAGGAACTGGGAATAAAGCAGTTTCTAAGTCCCTGACACTGTGATATGTTGTTAAATGGGTGAATCCTGAAAATCCTGAAATTGTCCTCAAAATGATGTGATTTGACATAATACTAAATTTGTATGATCTACCATTTTGCCTTCAGATTACTGGTTTTTATTAATTTATTTATGTACCCAATTTGAACCGTGCCACCATATGTTTGGTTCCCACTTTCTAGGTACCCAAAGGGACTAGAGATACTAAACAGAAGTTTCTGAGTCTGATAAAATCCCATGAACTACAAAGGTTTTGATTGGTGCTGTTAAATGCAGAATAGTTCAACGTAATATGCTGCCCTGAAAGTTGATTTACCTGGCATTCCATTCAGCCATACAGAACTTGGCTCTGCCACTTTGTTGTTTTATTAGACGGATAGAGTCATTGTGTTTGGCAGATAAGAAATATATTTGCCAGTCTCAGAACTGGGGGGGGGGGGATAAATCCAAATGTGGAATATTTGTGCTAGCCACATTGACATATCTTGTGTTGTGAATGCTCAGTTAATCACTCCACACCAATTCTTTACTGACGATTCACACAATTCACTGTCACTCACACAACAGTTATTCTCAGAAGCCTATTAACAGCCTACCTTATGGCTGTTTCTACAGCAAAAAGTCAGCCACAAATGAAAACTCCTCTTCTTTCTGCCAATTAAGAAAAGCATGCGAGCAGACAGAATCATACACCAATTATCTGATTTGGTGACCGTCTGTAAGACACACATATAGTTATTCTTTCCCTCCCAGGTACTTGCATAAAAAGCGCTATGAAACCGGGGATGTAGATAAGCTTTATTGTACTAGCCAAAGACCATGACAAAACCAAACAGACACTATCCAAGAAAGAAATATATAAAAATCTATATAGCTATATATAAAATCGATATAAAAACACTCAGCTTCATTGGATGTCCACAATGTTAAAAGATGACATAACACCTAAAGAAAATGAGAAAGGGGTTCATGAGGTAGTAACTGAAAATAAGACATTAAAGGCTAGCCAACTAAGTAAGAGCAGAGAATAAAAACGTTTTGTTTGTTTTGATGAGAGATATGGCATGTGGAGAATGTTGAAGGTGCCATAGGTCAATCTTCAGCATCCTGATGCCCTTTAATGTTTTGGACTACAACGCCTTTCATAGCACTGCTTCATGAGAATTGCAGTCCAAAATATCTGGAGATGTTTGGCAAAAACTGGTAAATATGCCTGGCATAGATGGATAATCGGGGAACACAATTCCACAGGAGAGGATGGCTGAGTCGGTAAAGCATGAGACTCTTATTCTCGGGAGTCGTGGCTTCAAGGCCCACACTGAGCAACAGTTTCCTTCATTCCTTCCTTGCAGAGGATTACAGTAAATGGCCCTTGTAGTCCCAGCTCTACAATTCTATGATTCTGTGAAAGGTACCAGAAGAAGAAGAAATGGAGGGATGTGGAAAGAAGATAAAATTTAATAAGAAAGCTTAAATTGGGATAATGAAAGGCCATGGGTGCTAAGATCTCATTCTTCTGAGGATACCATAGTAATCCAATGACCCTGTAAAAATACACCAACTGCATTGTTAACTGAGTATTATATCCAACTAAGTATTTGTTTTAGTCAGAGTAAAGATAAAGGTAAAGGGACCCCTGACCATTAGGTCCAGTTGTGGATGACTCTGGGGTTGCGGCGCTCATCTTGCTTTATTGGCCGAGGGAGCTGGTGTACAGCTTCTGGGTCATGTGGCCAGCATGACTAAGCTGCTTCTGGCAAACCAGAGCAGCGCACAGAAATGCCATTTACCTTCCCGCCGGAGCGGTACCTATCTACTTGCACTTTGACGTGCTTTTGAACTGCTAGGTTGACAGGAGCTCACCCCGTCGCGGGGATTCGAACCGCCAACCTTCTGATCGGCAAGTCCTAGGCTCTGTGGTCTTTTAACCCACAGCGCCATCCATGTCCCTTAGTCAGAGTAGACCTATTCAAATTAATGGAGCTAAGGCAGCCATGTCCATTTATTTCAGTGAGTTTGCTTTGATTAGCACCAGCATTGGAGACAACCCTAAATAGTTTTAGTTCTGACATAATTATATCTTCTTAAGATACTTGTGATAAATCAGTCAGCAATTCACTGATATGTATTCCATTACAAACTCATCAAGACTGCACAAAGATTAAATCTGGTTTAACAAAATATTTAAGATGCCAAAAACTCAAATGCCAGAAAGTGCACCTATGAACAGTGGGGTTTGTTTGTGGCTATATATCATTCTAATGTCAAGAACAACTACTCCAGTTCCTAATTATCAGAGGATAATTTCATTGAACTAATTAAGCAAGTTATAAATCACACATACTGAGGTAGGAAAGACCTATAAAATTTAAAATGGAAATATAATTTATAGTGTGGCAAGCTAGTATATTTATATGAAGAATATTTAATATACTAGCCATAAGTCATTAAGTGGAATGTGTGATTAATATAACTGGAAAATTGATAAAAATGAAAAATGATTTAAAGTAAATTATTCATTTTATGCCAGTCGTGAAAAGTAGTCATTTTCATCATTGTCAAAGCAGAGAACAAATACAAAAAGACGAGTGAGTTTCATCGACTGGTATTCTGAAACATGTAATGCACACAATAAGTCCCATTGAGGTGAGAATTCCATATGTGATTCCGACAAGTTTCCAGTAATTTGTTTCGATTTGACCCATTTATATATAATGCTTACTCTTAAAAAAAGAAACACCCTCTAAAGGATTCAGACTAAGACTGCAATCCAACCACGCCTACTCAAGGGTAAGACCATCTGTAAAGGTGGATTTAGGGCAGCACAACTGGTTCCTCAGCACAGGGTGCAGGGGCCAGGGGGGTGCTCTCCCAAAACCTAGTAAGTGCTGGGCTTTGGGAAGGAGGCGTAAGGGGGCTGACAGGGTCCCAGAGGCCCCCTTCCTCCTTCCCAAAGTCTAGTTAGCACTTGCCCAGCTTTGGGAAGGAGGTGGGAGGGCTATAGGACCCTGCCAGAGCCTTACACTTTCTTCCCAATGCCCTGCGCCTCTCTTACCTGGTTTTGGGGAAGGCACCACAGGGGCTGGGGGGATCAAATATGGGCCTTGCACAGGGCACCATATTACCAAGGTCCACTCCTGTCCTATTGAGTTCAATGGAGCTTACTCCCACGTAAGTGAGATTAAGGGAATTCAACATCATTCCATCAGTGGAAGCATTTCTGCTTGCCAGATGAAATTATCTCCCTCTTAGCCTTACATGTGTTGTTCTGGGTCTTCTCTTGACCCTCCAGAGTGGATTGAGGGTGGGGTGGGGTGGGGAAGGTGGGAAGTCCCAATGTGCTTGCAGGAATCTTTGTGCTGGTGCCCACTAGCACACTGGGTTAGTTGTATCCTTAGGCTCACATCCAAGTTTAGTTGAACTTAACATCTAGGGTATGGTATGAGAGCCAGCATATCACTTTGCCAGGTTTGTAGGACCCAAATGTTAATTTAAGTGCGCTGAGAAAACATCCATGGAATCTCACCAGAATCTTCTGTAATGGTCTGACATACAAAGAGTTTGCAAGAATGAGAACTTTGAAAATCATCGGTCAAGAAAATTCCCATATAATTGAACCCACCTATTCCTTAGCACATCAAAGTGCAAGTAGATAAATAGGTACCACTCTGGCGGGAAGGTAAACGGCATTTCCGTGTGCTGCTCTGGTTTGCCAGAAGCGGCTTAGTCATGCTGGCCACATGACCTGGAAGCTGTACGCCAGCTCCCTCAGCCAATAAAGTGAGATGAGTGCCACAACCCCAGAGTCGTCCGTGACTGGACCTAATGGTCAGGGGTCCCTTTACCTTTATTCCTTAGCTGGTCAAATAAATTTCTGGGGCAAATCTAAGGTAGTGGAGTTACTTGGGATTCATTTTCGGGGGTGATCATTCATGAATCGGATAATGCTACTGCGAGTACAGTGGATGTAACTATGAAATCTTAACAGTGCCTTTGTAATGCTACCAATATACCAGGGCTTCTCCATTTTTTTCCTGTATGATGCTAAAACTGGGACTTTGTTCACAGAGCTGACACAGCCAGTGCTGAGGGAATATATTAATGTGTTCTCTCATGAATACCTTTGTTCTTCCCCCTTGCAGTTTTCTTCTTTATTAGAGAAAGAATTGAAAGCTGGACTGAAAGCAAATGCTTGCTGTTTCTCAGTCTGTGATTCTGCCCTGTAAGGCTCTTTATTGAATGAAAGATGATGTGTATTCCTAGAGCTGAGCCAACCCCTTATCGGAGAGTTGCTTAAAGGAAATAAACTGCAGGAAGTGAATTCCAGAAGAATAGATGTATTCACTGCTCACTTTTAGAGAACAGCTGTTAATTCCAAATGCTGCAGCTATTACCGTGATCTGGTCTCACAAGCAGGCGGGACTATTGGACTCTCCATGGTAGACCAGACCCACCAAATACAGAGCAGTAATCATGGCTTCTGCTTCACCAAAACCTTAGTGTAATGGTTTGAAATCTGTGCCTACTCAGTGCTCTTTGCAATAGAGCACAACTGTCCTCGCATGACATCACTGTGCTGTATTGGAAGTCAGGGGAAATGATCCTGCACAGCAGCAAGCTGTTAGGATTCAGGAGGAGGAAGCATGCTCCATCACCCCGCAAAAATGACAATGCCAGACAGCAAATGATTTGACATGGGCAGCAACTTCATTAACTTGCATGCCCAAATTGCAATATTCTTAAGCACATAGTTCAAACCAGCCACCCGCAGCCAGTGCTTCCACAGACTTACTTCTGAGTAGACAAGTATCTAGTTGCACTTTTGTGCTCATTCATCTGTTCAAACAAATTCAGTTTCCTAAAATATGAAATATAAAAACTCCTCCTTGGCATTCATTACCTGTGTATGAAACCCTGTAATTGTCTTTCCAGGGAAATAAATAAATAACTCTGTTAACAGTAATAATAAAGTCAAAAAGGGGCATGAATGTTGCAACAGAAGTAGTGAAGGTTCGGGAGATAGGGGAAAATAGGATGCTACTAAAGCAGCCATGAAATTATTCACAGCTGTTTCTGTACCACCAGTGCTTCTGTTTGTTAACATGAAGCTTAGCTTTATACTACCAAACAGAATTATTGATCTGGACTCAAGCTCTGGTTTCTGCCAGTGCAAACACATTTATAATATGTATTATCTTTCCCAGACCTTCAATACCAGGCTTTTCAAAAATAAAAAAAAGTTCACAAGCTATTCCCATTTGTTAAGCTACATATCCACTATAATCAAAAGGTGACTTCACAAACTTTCCCTAATTGTTATGGAATTATAGAAGCCAGGACTGCTTTCAGGATTCTGTTGGAAACTAAGACTCAAGTTTGGGGCAAATACTCTTTGGTGAGGGAAGCCCAGCAGAGAAAGAAAAAGAAAGGAAATACAGGCTGTAAAACCTTTAAAATGTGCCCTCTGAGTAAATTTTAAAATGTTCCTCTTCCCTAGCATACAGAGTGAGTGCACGTTTGGTAAGTTATAAAATGATGTACTTACAAAATTCTTAGGTCAAATTCATGTGCTTTTCCATACAGCAGTCAGAAAAAGTTGCACAAGCAGTAAAACGTTGCTTGGTTACAAAATGGTAAGAGTTCCTAAACGGTATACAAAAACACTAATTTCAGGCTCTATTCTTGTCTGATACAAAAGAGGCTGGTTAAAACCATGTGGCTGAGCTGGAGCAACAAGTTCAGAGCTCCTCAGATACTGAGTTCACATGTAGACTGAGTACAACAAAAGCCTTGGTTTCCCATTTCCTCCCAAGGTGAGGGGAAGTGGTATAGGCTCAGCCTGGCAGGACAGCGTACTCTATGACATTAACCCCTTCATACATTCATTTCACTCAAGCATGCTATTTATATGAGGCTGGTTACCCTACAGATTTGGACTACCGTGACAAAGAAGTGAAGGCTGAAAAATGAATGGCTGCAAATTCGTCTTAATTTGCAGGTGCTGCTCCCTGTCAATGTATTGAGGGTTTTAGCATTTTAGCATTGACTCTTCCTTGTCAAGCTGCTGGGAAGAGGGGATGGGCTTTTTCCATCTGCCCTGGAATGGCAGTCCTCTTGAGAGGCTACACAAGATGCCAGGACACCATCCAGCTGTAAGTTCTGGTCCTGCAAGAAAGTGACTGCCTTGACATTTACCATTGTTGGCACCACCATCAATCCCAATGGTGCTAGGAAACAAAGCTACATGCCCAATTCATTAGCAGCAGTGCTCCACTTGCTGCTACAGCATCAGAGGAGACCACCTCTCAGCTTTGACTGTTTAACCCAG